TAAAAACTAGCAAGTCGAAAATAAATTTGTTTAAATTCTTGAAGTCGTTTTTGATTATGTAATCTACAAAAGCTAAAAAATATTCCAAACAATAAAACGAAACAGATTTCAGTTTTACAATCCATGACAAATATGTGTATTTACAAGGTTCATCGTAAAAACGGTTTAACAAATTTATAGCTATATCTTTTTGCTCTATGTTAAAACATCTTTCATAGTTATTTAGTAACAACACTAAACTAATAAAATCAAAACTATCCAAATCAAGCTGTATATAATTGTAACGTAACAAGCGAGTAACTGTTGAGATGCATATTTTTCGAATGTCTACATGATACTCAGAGTCTTTTACTGTTTTATATGATTCATACATAAGTAGCAACGTTTCTTTTGGAATTTCCACAGGATCTTGTAAAACAAAACGTACCCAATCACTTAAAAAAATCAATGATTCAGTACACGTAACTGCTGTGTTAAATTGTAGCTTAAGCTCATGTGTGGCTTTCCGGTCCCAATGCTTAATAAAATGCAAAGCATAACGAAAAACGTTTGGTACAATATCAAAATCACAAGGAAAGATTAATTCTTCTACGTTATCGCGAACGATAGAATATAGCCTAGCTAATTTAGGAAAGTGTTTTAACAAACTATGATAATCAGCAGCTATTAATCGAAATAGATTGCACAGATCAATCCCAATATCTTTCAATAATCTTTCAGTAAGTAACAAAAATGATAAATTTTTACATAGTTGATCAAATTTTTTATCATCAGTAATGTGCGATAAATTTAAACAACATTTGGCCATAAATAAATTTAAAAAAGCAAATGTTATATTTATTTTAAAAATAATAATAAGTAGATTTTTTTTTAATAAAAACTAAAATTTTATTGACAGACAAAAATATACATGACAAGACCAACCAGCTCAAAAAGGCTTCAAGAGAAGCAGGACAAGCAAGAAATTGTTTCTAAGAAGACTAAAACAAATGAAATTGCGTCCACTGTCAATGAAAAAGAATTGATTCAAAACGAGTTTGAAGCCATTCGTGAAAAGCTAGAGCCAGTTGTAGAGAAAATTGCTGAGCTAGAAAAAGCTATTGAGAAAAAACAAATTGGTGTCCGACGAAGCTTCATCGGCCAGCTCAAACCATTATACGAAGCCAGAGACAAAATCATTAGCGAAAATGACTGTTTATGGGGTAAACTCGTTGCTATACACCCAACCCTCAATGAAAACAACCTGGTTCTTCCAAATGAAATCAACTATCTTGTTCCCTACCTTAAGGATGTTGAGGTTAACGATTTAATTGACGATAATGGTTCTTACAGCATTAAGTTCACTTTTTCTAACGAGGCCAAAGATCACTTTCAACCTCTTGTTTGGAACAAAACTGTTATTATAAACAATGACGGTGAAGTCAGCCAGGAAAAGTCTACTGTCACTCAAATTGAATTCAAGAACGCTGACATTGATCCACGTAAATTTGCAGAAGCTTACAACAACTCTATCTACTCCCAACTTGAATCCAATGAGAATGATGAAGACGACGACGATAAAAACGAAGACAAAGAAAAGAAAGATGAAGAAAAGTCTCAACACGACGATGAAAACAAAGACGATGAAGGTGAAGATGATGATGATGATGATGAAGACAATGACTTATCCGACGATCTTCGACCAGTTTACTCAATTGCTGGATGGTTCTCTATTGTAGATCCACTTGAAGCTGGTGAATTTGGTGACGTCTTCCGAAGTGAAGTTTACCCATACATTCAAACTTTGCTTGATGACAATTTCGACGATGATGATTTCAGCGATAGCGAGGATTTTGACAGTGATGAAGACGATGAATCTAACGAATAAATTTCTAAAAGCTCTTGAAACAATTATAACACCTGTAAAAATTGTGTTAAGCGAACCTAACACCGTTTCTACCTGTTAATTTTTATTCGCATATTGAAATAGTCCTTTGTAGTTTTTTATTCATTGTATTTTCACCAAATTGCCTTATAAATAAAACGTTTCACCGATTTCGGACAACTTTAAGTTAATTGTTTAATGTTTTATTTATTTTTATACAAATTTATTCATACAGCGATTTTTTCTTTAGATTAGTATCATCAAAATATATAGTAATAACTGATCACAATTTTACCATTTATCAGAGAGTAACTTAATTTACTAAATCTTGAAATCAGTTTGATTCAAGCTGGGCGTTTTTTAATAACAACTTCAAACAGATAAATAATATTAAGATATCAGTCAAAAACGCTATTATGATATTAAGAAAATTGGCTTTATAATTGATACGGTAATTTGCTTCAAAAGCGATTAGCCAACTGAAAATCAATACATAAAGCACCATGTAAATTAATGACACTAAGTTTTCGCACTTAGAATTACATTTATGATAGAAACATTTTACTGTAAATCAGCCTTTATCAACAGCTAGTATTGTATTTAAATTACATCAAACTAGTTTCGGCGAATTTGAAAAATTAGTCGTCAACTAACAAATGATAAATTAGGTATAGTATCAGTTAAACGAAAAAAAAAATGAAGAACGTTGTGAATTAAATAACATCGCTTGGATATCTATACACTATGAAAAATTCATATTACAAAACTCAAACTGGAATATTAAAACACTCATAAGATATTAAGCGGTAAAAATTATTATTAATATTACCAAGTTATTATTTTTTTTAATTTAGTAAATAAACATTTAATTATTATTTCTGCAGTGTGGTAATGACTACAAAATAATGATAATGATATTCAACTAGATAAGAATAATTATCATCAATTTGTAACTGATTTATTTAACATCCTCAAAATTTGTAATTTGGCTTTGTATACATCCTTGGACCAATCCAATAAAACTTGAAATAGTTAAACCACATAACTTTCCTAATAAATAAGCTGCGGGTTTTGAGCTATCAGTCATTTATTAAAACAATAAGGTGCACCATTAGTTTAAAATATTTTCAGTGATTTATTTAAAACTTTTTTCTTAAAGGTTATATTATTTGTTAATGCATTTTATTCAATCAATTACAACTTATTTTTTTATCATATTGAATTATTTTTAATTTTATGTGCTAATCGCAACAAGCTATTGCTATTAATTTTCATAGATATTAGCAGGATTTCGTTGCAAAATGGCTTTCCAGGTCGATTTAAATAAAAAAAACCCAATTGTAATTGGCGTCTGCGGGCGTATGTGTTCAGGAAAAAGTTATTTAGTCATGAAGTTATTAGACCACTTTAAAGATAATAAACATCAAATTGAATTTATTGAATGTGATAAGGTTTGTTCTAATTTATATAATTCATCTAAAAATACAGTAGAAAAAATTGCAAATTGTTTTGGTAAAGATGTTTTGTGCGATGATGGTTCAATAAACCGTCGAATATTGGGACAAATCATTTTCAACAGTGAGTCGTGTCGCCAAGAGTTAAATAAAATTGTTTGGCCGGAGATGTATAGCATCTTGAAGTCTCGAATCGAAACATCCACTGCAAAACTGATTTTCTTAGAAGCTGCGATTTTGTTTGAAGCAAAGTGGGATCATTTATGTGACTATATAATTCATTTAAAAGCATCTAGACAGCTGATCGAAGAATGGATGAAGGAGAGTCGACCTCATTTTTTAAGCGGTTTAAACAATATATGGAGTGCTCAGATGTTATGTGAACAACTTGCTTCAAATTCAGATAATAAAATTATTTTTCAGAGCGATAATTTTGAATCGGAGTATAATAATTTAAAAAAAATTATTTCGCAATTGTTAACAATGTAAATTTTTATTCTAAGATTTCATTTCAAATCATAAAAGCCTCATATATTATTAATTAATATTAACTCAATATTAGCTACGCCATTATACGATTTTATGCTTAAACCTAGATTCTTTGCAAATCGTCGTAAGAATATAAAAAATTTGTCAATACAGCCTTTGTCTCATTGGTTTAACCGAAGGTATAATATCAATAAAGGTAATAATTTAGATATTTTTTCAACTAATAATAAGCACAAACAAATTGACATATTCAAACAAAACGAATTCAATGCGTTTAAGTATAACACCAATTCAATCAACCTGATTACAAATAAATTTCACATTCACGATAGATTAAGTAATTTGGTTTCAAGGTTAGAATCAAGCTTTCGATCACTCAGACAGTCACCACTTGCGATTAAAATATTTGGCAGAAGTAGTTATTTTATAAACAAGGATGTTCAGAAATTATTTAGTGAAGAATTCCATTATTTGCAAAATGTAAATCTAAAATCAGTTATCTGTTATTTAGAGAATGTTTTTTTTCCAAAACTGTTAGATTCAGTAAACAATTTAGATCAGAATAAAGATTGGCTGGAATCTCATGTGAGTGAATCTTCTATGGCTATTCTTAAATCTTTTTACAATGAAATCCAAAAGATTTACCAAGACGATACTCTAAAAAATGATTTAACATTTCTACAAAAACCCATTAAAATACATTTTGAACGATTCCATCAACTGAATAAAAGCGAATATTTATATAAGACTCTTCAAAAAGAAATTTTAAAGCAAGAATCTTTCATTATAACAGGTTCTTTTTACTATCTAGCGAAAAATCAATATGACAGTAAGTTTGTTTTAGTCCCGAAATTTATTAGAAAGAACTGAATCAGGAGTTTATCGCGTGCACTTTTCATGTTCATTAACCCCAATAAAATTCATAAACTACATTCCTGATTTCCCATTTTACATTCAAGAATTCAAAATTCAAGAAACAGAAAAGTTGAGATTTTAAGTTATTTATCAAAAAAATAAAGGGGTTTATTAATTAAAACTCTGAGATATTTAGGGCGTCTAGCTCAAATGGTAGAGCGCTTGCTTAGCATGCAAGAGGTACTGAGATCGATACTCAGGTCGTCCACTTTTTTATCTCAATTCATAATTTTAAAATTTCAATTGACAAAAATTTTTTTTCTTTTTTAATAATTTAAAGACCACGATGGGGTTCGAACCCACAATCCCCGGTTTCGAAGACCGATGCCATTCCATTAGGCCACGTGGCCATTGACTATTAATTTGTTTGTTGTTAATTTTCACACATGTGTATTTAAAATAGTTGAAAATAAAAAGAACCGCCTGGGGGGCTCGAACCCCCGACCGCAGGATTAAGAGTCCTGCGCTCTACCGACTGAGCTAAGGCGGCTTAATATTTATTTATCTGTTTTCATCTCGTAGAATATCGATTGTAGTTTAAGTTTTTATCTTTGTGTGTATAAAATTCTTAAAGTTTAATTGGAATGAACAATGTATTCTATTATAATACTTTTACTAAATACGTTCGTGTATACACTCGATTGTACAAATTTAAGCGAGATCATATGTAAATTAGAAGTGAGTATTTCTTAACACGAACTATTAGTCTTATATTGGTAATTGTGGTGGTTGGTGTCCTGAATCTGAACAATGCATCAATCAGAACATTTTATCCTGTCCATATGGAGAAGCTCGAGTCTGGCAAAAAATAGATTGTTCAAGAATAGACGATCCAATTTCATGCATAAGATTAAGAGAACATCCGGTAAGTACCTGTAAAGGGGTTTGTGCCGATGCTGCATCAAACAGATGGTTTTGTTTAAATTTATTTGAAAAATGTCCTGGAACTATTTTACAAAAGACTATTGATATATCTTGTCAGCAGTTCAGCAATTGTACCAATTGTACTTTTTATTCGACCAACTCAAATAAATCTTATAATTTACTTAAAAAATGTGGTTGGAACAAAAATCAAAACAAATGTGTTCAGTTAGACTCATTAACAAGTTTAGATAATATTCAAACCGAGTTTTCACAATGCGAATAATAATATTTTTTTATTTTCAAATTATGCAATATTCATTAATTCATATTTGTAATTGGATCAAGAATAAAAGTCTTTTGAATTGGGAAACTCATGTTTATGAATACTTTAAAAACATAATTCTAATATCCAAAGACGAGCAATTAAATTCTGACTCAAATGAGCAGCAAACAAACGAAAATCAACATAAATTCAACTTCGATATGTTTTCAAAATTACTAACGTATTTTGATATTGATAAAGAAACCGACTCCAAAAAAAGATTGAATGTATTATCTAATTCAAAAGAGCTTTTATTTTCTCATTTCGAAAAATCATTAATATATTTGAACGACATCAATTTTTACTTCATTAAATCTGAAGAAATCTATTTAAATGATTTATTGAATAATTTATTACAATCTCACATTGATATTTTTTTAAATTTAATTGACGTGTTAAAAATTAGAAATTTTCACCAAAACCATTGGTCGAAATTTGAATTCGATAGTTCACTTGATTTTCAGTTGGACGATTTAGATTTTAAATTAAAAACATTATTATATTCATCAATGCTTGAATCTATTTTATTTTTACGCAGTATATATATTGAAGAAACAATGCTGCAAAAGTTTTTCAATTCAGAACCAAATTCACTGCGATTAGTTGATAATACTAAATCAAAAGATTATACAAAAGACACAAATAAATTTTTAATAATTAACAATACTAACAAATTAGACGCGTATAATAGTGTGAATCAATTTCAAAAAAATATTGGCGATAAAGAAAATATTTATATAACCGATTATTATTGTGTAAATAATTTTATTGAAGCGGATGATAATGGCAATGATTCACAGGAAGAAAAAATCACTAGAGTAAGTAAAATCTAAAGTTATTGTCATTATTATCATTGTTAAATTCTGAAAAAAAATCACGTATTCAATAATGCCAATCAATCTAAACAAAATAACTTTTTTTTAGGAAAAATTAATATTCATGGATAAATGGAAAGATGATAACCCGCGTGGATGTGCTAATAATGGTAGTATTATATAATTTAATGTTTTGTACCAATAAATAAAAAATATTTTTGATTAGTTCATGTTTTCAGATTAATGCACAAATTAATTTTTATATATATATATATATAGAAAATGATAATGCATGTCTGATACTAGAAGAAATGAAACTTTAGCCAATGAACATAGCAAAAGTAACTTAAATCGGTTTATAAGTATTTTTTCAAACGCTTATTGTGACCAACTAAAAGAAACTGTTCGAGTTTATTTAGATCTTATTAGTCCTCGGGTAGATGAGACGAGCGAAAAAAAAAAACTCTATTTATTAATTAAGTACGTGACTCTGTCTGTTATTGGAACTGAGAGTACTGTTCACGTTGTTGGTTCCACAGCGTGTGGTGTAGATTCTCACGGGTCTGATCTGGATATTGTGATATTAAACGATTCTATTGTTAGTTCGGAAATATTCATCAAGCTATTGTTTTATTTTAACAATCAAAATTGGAATCGAGGTTCTTATAGTTTCATGAGTAATTGTCATGTGCAATTGATCGACACAGCAAGAGTTCCGGTTTTGATCATAAGTTTGAAATCTGGGCTAGTATGCGACATTAGTGTTAATACAAATAATTCACTGAAACACGCATTGTTTTTCAATCGATCGTTTAATGACAACCCAATTAGAAAAGAATTAATTAGATTATTGAAACATTGGACTAAAGCTAGATGTCTACCCGCCATGAAAGACGGTGGACTGCCTGGTATTGCTTGGATGATAATTATATCAGCGTTTTGTTCAGCACCAGATTTTTTAATATTGAATAATTTACCGCAATCTGTTCGAGATTGGTTGTGCAAATTAATTCCAATGCTAATCGAAAAGGTTCCGTTGATACTGTATTTATTGAATTTCTTTGTTATTGGCAGCAACTATAATACATTTTCAACTCAAATTTTGCCAAGTAAAGAAATGTGTATCGTGAGATGGAAAAAAAATATCTCAGTATATTCAAATCAAAATGATAACGGATATTGGGAAAATCTAGTTTCGATTGAAGATCCAGTTTGTTATTTTGACAGTGTAATAGAAAAGCTCGATTGGCATTTGGAAGATGAGTTAGAACATAGAGTTTTTTATGGTCAGGATGAAAATGTATCACTCAAAAAATATAATATGGACCTCTCTCGCGAAGTATTTGTAAAAGTAAGTTGTGCTACGTGGATTATTTATTTGATTGAAATGCGTAGAGGCAAGCAACTGTTATTACGATTGCTGCAGTTCATTTATGAGTCAGTTAATAAAATAAAGCTTTGGCCGAAAACGGTGATTATGCAAAACTTGACAAAAAAGCCTATTACTAACTTAATTAATTTAGAAAACAATATAGATTATTGTACCAATATGAAAATAGATGTCTATATCGCACTAGCGTTTCAACACCAGTTTAGCTCGATTTTTAAATATCGGAAATTTGATCGTTTCATGATTCCAGCTACTATAGATGTTTTTTTATCAGAAGAATCGCATAAATCAGAAAAAAAAATGGAGCTACCAGGATATTTTGAGAATATTGATAACAGTTGGGGCGCAAATGTTGTTGACATTAGAGGCGTTGGTAATCAAACCATGCATCCATTCTGCAGTAAGTGCAGTTATTATTCAACACGTTTTGCCATAGTGTTATTTCACGCCCGTTTACACATAATTAAAATAAACAAAATTTGTCCTGATTGGTCTACTTGGTGGTCTAAATCGTTTCTTTGTAGAAGAGACGTTAGAAGTTCGCTTCATGGATATTTATACGCGATAATTAAAACTTCGGATTATAAAAAATATGTTAATTGCGAAGGTATGCGCGAAGTCGAAATACCTGCAACAGACTTTTCTCCAACATATTCCCAAGCCGGATCTGAATACCTTTACACGGACAAACGTTCCGTAATTCCTTATTTGTTGATGCCTATTTTATCAATTAAAGACAAAAAACCAATTGAAATAATTACAAACCCAAGTAATGTAGTTTGTCGAATTAAAGCATACCAAACATTTATAAAGGACTCGCCAAAAAGTAAATATAGTTGTTCAAATAATACTTATTTTCTGGAGTCAGATGAATATAATTATATTAGAAAATTAGAAGAAATCATAACCGAGTCGTCTTGGTATTCCCTTGGCGATAATATTGGATTGGTTAGCAAAGAAAAGCTGCGACTGAATGAAATGAATTTTCAAAGGTCAGTGGAGACTTGCGAACAATGTAACGAGAGTGCTGTCAAGTTTATTGATCTCAGAAAAAACTCTCATTACAATGTATCTAAAGGAGTTTTAAATCAAAATTGGAATTTTAACATTAGTTCCTTTAGGAAAACAATCGATGATGTTTGGAAAAGGTATCTGAAACATGTGATTGAAACCGAACAATTTCATAATGAAAACCAAAAACATTGTAAACAGGCAGAAAAAGAAAATATAAATAACATAAAACACAATGTTCAGACTCATAGTAACTTGACGAAAGTAACAACCATTTTACAGTCTAGCATGAATAAAATAGATCCAGCTATAATTAAATTAAATATTAAAAAAAAAAACTATAAATTAAAAAGATACAGCTCTGCTCCTTGTAACTAACTCATTTGCGATAAGTAAATAAGTTATAATAAATTTTCGAAAATATGCAAAAATAATATATACTCAGTATTTTTATTTATACGATTATAAACCTATATTTTCAATAAGTATTTATTTTCTAACTATGAGTAAAGAGAATGAAATAGAATTGCCGAAAGTATTAAAAGCAACAGATGAAAAACTTCAGCAAAATTATGTTTCATTAAAGACGCAAGTGACTAAAAATGCTTTGCACGCCTTGCAAGTAAGAATTCCAGAAAAAATGCAAAAATATGAAGACTTGATACCGATGTCAAGCAACTCTTCTTCTATACTTGACAACTCTGATTTTCCTCACGATGATCCAATATATTCTGTCCTGACTGATACAATCACTGAAGAATCAGCTGAATCAGAACCTAAACGTTTCAAAACCGATGACTATCAGTACATTGACGGGGTTGTAAAACTCCCAAAATATATTTACTCGTTCAAGTTTGATAGCAGCAATAAAATATGCGATAGGATCAGCCACATAAAACAAGAAGCAACTGAAATGATGGATATCGTTAGTAACATTAAGCTTTGGATTCAATTAAATATTCCCAAGATTGAAGACGGTAATAATTTCGGAGTTGCGATACAAGAAGACGTTATTCACGAATTGAACCGTGTTGAGGAGGCTGCTTTTACGTTAAGAGATAACACGTCTAAGTTTTACTTACAAAGAGCTAAGTTGTTAACAAAAATTTTAAAGTACCCTAAAGTAGAGGATTACCGTCGAGCCCTTAAAGAGTTAGACGAAAAACAATGGTTCCAAATGAAAGTTAATGACTTGGATACGAGAAACAATTACATTATTATTTACGACATGTTATATAAAAACTGGAACAAAGTTGTCCGTCCTAGAACTTCTGACAGAAGTGTAATGGTTTACTAATCTAATCAATGTTGTTGACTTTTTTTTAGATTTTATAAACATCTATGTTTACTGTTAATTTTACTGTGTTCACTATTTTTATGATTCTTGTAAAGTATGAATTGCTCTTAAAGAAGTCGGTTCTATTTAAATAATATATATAATATATAATTGGGTTTTCGAAGCTGAGATTGTGTATTTAATTAATTTTATATAGCTAAAATAATGGTTCCAACGACAGTTCATATGCTTTATCGCTAAAATTTTACATATTTATCTGAATATTCATCAATCTTTTTGTTAGAAAATGTATTTGCCATGTTTGTAATGTATTTGTAATCTTTGCTAAAGTTCAGATTGCGAATGAACAAGTGTTTGTCGTTCTGTATAGCAGAATACAAAGAAGTACCGTCTTTTGTAGCATGATGGAGATTAAAAATCAATTTTTTCAAGGCTGGGACGTAATTGATGATGTAGGCAGTTCCGGTGAGCCAACTGATTAGGATGTAAAAAAAAGTGGGGATTCGTTGATATTCAAACACATGGTTGTGAAAAAATATATCAATAACTAGGGAAAAACCTAACAGCATAATACAAATGCACACTAAACTCAACATAAGCTGTTTGGTCAAAGAAAGTATGCCTAATGAATGACTAAGGCTATCCTGTCCAAAAATAAACAGAATCACAGTACCAATACTGCTAATAAACAAATAAAGTAGAGGTTCTAAAGCTAATGTAACAATCATGTACAACTGTAGTTTTGAACTCATCTTTGTCGATTTTCGTGAAAACAATAAGGTGTATCCTAAACAATAATTTAAAGCGTTAGCAATCCCGAGGATCCACGCCAGCTTTGTAGCTGATTGAGGTTTTTGAAAATCGAATGGGTTCAGCCATACATCAGTTTCATTGTCCATATTGTCAAAAATTGTTCGTATTCAAATTAAGCTGAAGAAATGTTCACTATATCTTTGTAGTGCGTATTACACACATATCATTATTAATACGGAATTTGCTATAATTAGTTTGTAAATGATTTCTTTTTTTGAATAAAGTTTCAAATTTATTTTCTGTACGGAAAAACTATTATTCTTCTTATTCGTTTCAATCTATTTGTTTCTCTGATTTCAAACTCGCTGATTGAAAACCTACTATTATTTCAATAATTATTACAAAATATCACCAATAAACGCATGCAAATTTATTCCGTGCAATCCAATGTCACTTGAAAAGTAAAACATATTTTTATGTATATATGTCGTGCATGCTCCGTAAAAATGGAACCCAGTAGTTTTGAGCCTTGCTTTCCTAATTCTTAAAAAAGATTTATCATAGCAATAAATACGGTTCATTCGGCTTACTAAGATATAAAAACTGTTATAGAGCTCAAATGCTAAAGGACAGGAAATATGGATTTTTTTACTCTGTGTTACTTTTCTAACTGAAATTTTATATTTATTTAAAAAGTTCCTATTATCTAAAAATACAATCTCGTCAGGAGATAAGAAGATCGCCTTGACAATGTATCTTACTGACTCGTCAAGTTCATAAAAGTGTTCGCCTGAGAGGCTTTTGTATTGGTTCACTTTGTTGAAACTGAGATATAAAAACTGTAATTTTGGTTTTTTTCTGCAATACTCGGGCGAAGGAGGCACAAATAAGACTAGTAAATAAAGTTCCGTGTTGTTGATTTTAGTGATAGCAATTGGTGTTTTGTTGTTTTGGTAGATTTTAATTGTAGAGTAAAGGTTCGTACCCGTCTTCATGTTATAACAAATTGTGTAAGATAAAGTAGGAATAATAAGAACTTCGTTACAAGCAATAATGGTTGCCAAAACTACTCCGGCCCGAGAATCCAATTTGTACACAGATAACGTGCTGACTGGATTTAGATCCAGAGTGAGAAAATGACTTTTGTCAATGTAAAATACACATTGATCGTTGTTTAAGTATGAATGCGCAATTTCACACTGTGAACGGTAGTTGATGTTTGTTTTTTGTTTGGTGTTGATGTCAAATTTCTGAATTTGACTTTTTACCGTTGTACATATGATATAATTATCGTGGGCCGTAATATTATTGATAAAGTTGTCTACACTCGAAGTGTATAGTAGTTCCTCAAAAGTCGGAGCAATAGACCTTTTTAATTTCATATTTAGTAAACCGCGCGATTTTTCAGAGGTTTGCTAAAGTCAGAAACTAAAATTAAATTATCTATGTACACTTTGGGTAGCTTTTCAAAACTTAAATCAACATTCCAAATCTAAAGCAAAAAAAAATAGTTTGATTTTATGCTGAAATTAAGTTCAACAAGATAAAAACAGTAAAATTTTTCTAAGCCGTGCCGACTAATTAATTATTTAGAATAATTGTCTGTTGTATTTATTAATAACAATTACAGCCTAAACACTATACAGTTTTAATTTCTCAATTATGTATGGAAGATATTATTTCTGCGATACAATCGTTCAATAATCGCGAGTATGCTTTACGTCATAAAAAAAATGACTCAGAAACCTCGATTTCGACAATAATCCATGATACTAAAAACGATAGCGACGATAAAAACACGCTTAAAAAAAAATTGAGTATTGTTGAGTTAAAACTCAAGGCTATGCGAGCCGAATTAGTACAACCACACGACGTTTTTGCTCGATGCCCGGAGTTTTTATTGTGCATAAAACAAATAAAAAACACTGTGCCAATTCCTTATCATTGGTGTTTGAAAAGTAAATTCATGTCAATTAAACGATCTGTTGCAAAACCCTTGTATCAACTACCACCTCACATTGAAGAAACTCAAATTGGCCAAATTCGGGGTTTTTCGTTAAAACAACTCGCTGACAAATCTGTGCGACAAATTCAGCGAGATAAGTCTCGAAATAAACTTAACAAACTTTATGTTGACTTTCAGGTTTTACATGACGCATTTTTAGTGCATAAAACTATACCGGATCTTACAAATTTTGGAGAATTGTTTTACGAAGAGTTCGATATGGAAAGACGTTTTGGGAAATATCAACCTGGTGTTTTATCGCCCGAATTACAAAAAGCGCTCGACTTACAAAACGAAACCGCGCCTCCCCCGTGGATCCATGTAATGCAATCGCTTGGTATTTTACCATGCTACAAACAGTACAAAATCCCGGGTATCAACGCCCCCATTCCTAAAGGCGCTACCTGGGGGCCTAACGGTTGGGGTACTCCGTCAGCGGCCTTAATAAATTCCAATCAAAACGAAACCAATATAAGTTCGCTCAATCAGCCCCAGATTAATTATTGGGGCGAGCCTTGATTAGTTATAGTCTAATTTGTTTTAAAACTTAATTTACTTATTTTATTGTTTTTAGTGTGATGTGTATTGTTTTCAAATTAGTTTCTTGGGTATTGAAAGTTTTTTTTCGTTATATATTTTAAAATTCTGACTAAACAGTTCTAATGCTTGCATTTTTTATAGTATTTGCTATAAGCAATGTGTACGGAATGCTTGAGATCTTGAATACTGGAAAAAAAAAAATAATCGAGTTTACGTTAGATTCTCAAAATTATTTTCCTACAGCACAATTCCAGATCGACGATTTCAACAAAGTTCTAAGTTATGAAGTTTCTAAAGTGGTTACCGTGCTAGATATGAATTTGTATATTTTAGACAACGGTGCTACTATAGTTATCGAACCAGAATACGCCACTTTAAAAGATTCTGATGAAAATTTTGTAGGAAGAATTAATTTTAACGACAATGATAAATTTGAAGGATCTATTGATTTGGAAAATCAAGACATAAAAAATAATGAAATATCAGTTGAGTTTAACGATGCTGACGAATCTAATAACAGAAAACTACGAAAATTACACGGTAAAAAACATTATTACACGATTCCCCAACCCAAACCCGTGCAGCCAAAAGTTGAATTTAAGATTGACCAAACCTTACCGCCTGTAACAGAAGGACAATGGAATGCATATCCATCAGAAATGTATTGTCGATATGGTTGTGGAAACTTGATGGGTGTAACATTCCCTTATTATTATCGCCCATTTTTTGGATATGGTTTTCCACTTATCGGAACGGAAAAATTGTTCACACCGGGTTATGGTGGAAACCCACTTACATCGATGGGCCCTAGTGGATCCTTAGCTGGACTAGGTTCAAATCATCCAGGGACACGAAGAGTAAATGCCGTATAATTTATATAGATAAATAACATAAAATTTAATTAGATAAATAACTGTGTATAAGCTTGTCGAATTCGACGCATGAGGATTCAAGTTTGTCGCTGATTATTGTGTCATCAAATTCCATTTCTTCCATTTTAATTAGTTCTTGTTTGGTCCATTTGATTCTTTCAGAAATTTCTTCATCTGTTTCAGTTTGTCTTTTGTGTAATCTTTTTTCTAATGTTTCGAAACTTGGAGGTATGACTTTAATGTATTTAGCTTTATCTCCGAGTAAATGTTTGATTTTCATCGCTCCTACGATCTCAATTTCAAAAATAATTACTTTATCTTTTTGTTCTGTACATCTTAACATTTCCGCTTTGCTTGTGCCATAGTAATTTTTGTTGTATTCAGCATATTCAACAAAATCGTTGTTCTTTACTTTTTCAAAAAATTTTTCTTTAGTAACAAAGTAGTAATCTACTCCGTGGGTTTCACCTGTTCTAGGTTTTCTAGTTGTGTGAGAAATGGATAGATTAAATTTGTTTGGATATTTAGACATTATATAATGAATAAATGATCCTTTACCAACACCTGACGGGCCACATATTACAAGTATCATTTGCGGTTTATTTTTGAAGATGTCAAGGCCGCCGGTAACGAAGCGAAATTAAATTTTAGCCAAAAAAAATTTAAAATTTGGAAAAAAAAATAAAGTTACAAAAATGAAATAGTGTAATTATATAGGTATTTGTTCTATCGCGTCTCTAATTTTTAATATCTGTTTTTCCAATGGACTTCTGTCGTCTGTTGTTATGGCTAATGCAATTACTGATCTAGTTACTCCACACGCGCGACCTAACGCAGAACGTGAATTGACAAATACAAATGGAATATTTTTATCTTCACAGAGTAAAGGAAGATGTAGAACTATTTCTATTGGCTCAGTATCAGCAGCAAGTACGATTATTTCAGCTCTGCCTTTGTTTAGTGCTTTAGCCGCTTCATTGGCACCTCTTCTAATCTGTCCTTGTTTAATAGCAGCTTGAATCAAATTATATAATTCAGTTTCTAACTCTTTTGGAGCTAATGGATAAGCCTTGGGATTTGGTTCGTTGATTTTCATGTTTTAGTTTTTTTTTATTTTTTTTGTATATTCTTCTTATTTGATTTGTTAATTGTTTTTGTTTTGGTTTAAATAGAATCAAACCTGTAATGTGTTAATAAGAGTTTTTCAATTTATTTATGTGTGAAGTCTTGATTTTGATATTTGATTTCAGTAATATATAATTTATTTATAAGCAGTATGATATCTCTGCAAACTATCAAAGGTATGCATTATTATAAACTAAATATTAGATGAGCTAAACGAGTTGGGCATCGTTTATGATGCAACGTTAAACTTTGAAAAAGCTACAAAAATTAAAAATAAAAATGAGATAGCTACTAGTTGTAATCTAGAAGAAAGCTGGATTGAAAAATTGTTAGTGTTTTCAAATGGTTTCAAGGTATGTTAGTGTAGCCAGCATGTGTTAGATTGATAAAGCTTGCGTTTCCCCGCATCATTTTCAAATTAATCTTGAATTTATAAAATCTGAACTTTCGTGTAACTTAAAATTGTACTATTTTAATACCATTCGAAACGTAAGTATTTTGTTAGAATTTGCTCAACATCTACGGGTAAAATACCCGAATCAATGTTTAATATGTGTGAATACTTGGACAAAACAAGTTTGTGTGTTGTATGATGGTAGTTTTGATATATGTATATCAAAAAGATACAGGAATTATCGCGTTGATCTCGATCTGGAAAATATCCAGTTATTCAAACTACCGTTCGGAATTGTTTTAGAAATTTTTCGACTCCATATTGTTGATAGTTTACTAGATTTAAAAAACGTGTTTTTGATGTTTATACGAAAATCAAAGCGTCTCGTAATTAATTCTTCCTTACCTGAATGGAAGAACTTGTTTAGTTTGAATATTTTTTCTCATAGTTATAAGGAGCTAGAAGATAAAATTGAAATATCTTATATATTAGAGTACCGTTTAGCTTTCCCTTTAGAATTTTGTTATTCACCGTCAACGATTTATACAATTCCTTTTCAGCAAACTTGTCAGTTGATAAGCGAGAATGAAGAATTTGAACCATGCAATCAATACAAATCATTTGAAGATTTTAAATCTGTGTGGTATTTAAGACATCGAGTCGACAAATCGTACATTAAAACTGATGCTGTTGATAAAATTTTAATCAATAATCATGAAGCTATAATGCCAGCAAAACTGTATACGAAATATCCTTTAACCGAAGTCGAGATAATCGATGAAGCTGAGTTTGTTATTAGGTCTGCAGTCCAAAATGAAATATACAAACCATTAGAAGACGCTTTCGCAAATTTAGTTTTAGTTCCATCCATAAAAATGAATTTGACTAATTATGTAGATTCCACTATTATTGACGAATTACTTTTATCTCAAGCGTCTGATCTAGGAATTTTCGATGAAAAATTTTGCGCCGATGTAGAGTCTTTCATTGAACGTGTGGACAAAGAAATCAGCGAGCAGGCAGATAAAAAATTAAATAAAAATCAAAATAATGAATACCCATCTAGAATAAAGAAAATACAGAAAAAAAAATTGCAAAAAAAATCGAGATACAGTACTGAAACTAACGCTTCAGAAACTGAAACGCTTGTTTAATCTTAAAATACTGTTTGAAAAAATAGATCATAGTGTTACTTTTACTTTGATTGTACTGTTTATTAAATGTGTCTGTATTTACTATTCGCCTTAGTTTCTGCATTTGGCAAAATAAACACATTTGAGGAAGTAAGTCTAACAACAGATTATCGCTAGATTTTGGAATTAAGTAAAATCTTGTCTGAACCTAAAGATCGCTATGGCATCGTAGATAAAATTAAGTTTTCGTGTGATGAAGACGACGTAATTCCATCGAACAACGAGCTGTACAAAGATAACGTTGATGCTAGTGTGTATTTTTGTAATTCGAGAAAAAATTGTTTGTTCTTCACGATGGACAATAACGGAAACATTGTTTTTTGTGAAAACATGTCGAAAGGCGAGGAAGGGAAGGGTTATACGTATATTGATCTTGTAAAGTTGGGAAAAAGAAAAGATTTGCTATTAAGTAAGTTGAGTTTCTAATAAGATAGTAGTTCCAAACGCAACGTTAAGCGGTTCGCGTTGTCATAAACAATTAGTAAAAACCGTATTAAGTATTGACGAATTAAATAAGGTTTTATTTTCTAACGCAATTATTGAATTCGATCTGTCTAAAAGCGGTGATATAACATTATCGTTGTATGAGTCTAAATGCAAAAAGCAAATACCGGCGTACGGTTCTATTTTATGCATGTGAACGAGAACGTTGCCTACTGTTGCTCGCAACGATCGGCGTTAATTTCGTGTAAATTTAGAGATTAATTATGTCAGTCAACTTATATTACAAATAAAAAATATTTATGTATGATGAGTAATATAAGAAGTAAATTGAAGATCGTCATTTGTGGTAAAAAAAATAGTGGAAAGACAAGTTTGATCTATCGTTGGAAATTGGAAGATTTTATAATTACCCAACCAACAATTATCGCAAATTTTGTACCTGTTTCAGTGACGCTGACGTCATTATCAAACCAGTATGATGATGGTCGCGCCGAAATAATAAAAAAAATATATAATTTTAATCTCAATTTCGTTGAGATAAGTTTTGAAGAATGTTTAGCAAACCAGGTTTGGTTTAACGAAATTGTGAATCTGGTAAAAAACAAAGAGAACGTATCTGCAGGAGCCAGTTTAGCAGGCTCAAATGCGACTTGTGGTTCTGTTGCCACTGTAAATATCTTTTTAGTAAGTTACAAAGCATACAAATTCTAGGATTGCAACTGTTTGGTATACGTTATCGATAAGAGTTGTGTTAAAAACTTCCAAACAATTTCTCAAGATTTGGAAGCGTTGAACTTTTTAGTTCGAAGTCTGGAAAAGATAAAGAGAGTTATCATATTGTTGAACAAAGAAGACTTAACTGTTATTAACGAATCTCAGATAAAAAAGTTGATCTACGCAGAATTGAAAAACTATACAAACATGACATTCACGTCTTGTAGTGCTTTATCAGGATACGGGTGTTTTGACGCGTTGTTAAATGTGATTGGAATGCCAGGTAAAAATTTTTACCAAAAATTAAATTCTAAATAAATACCATGCGAATAATAAAAATAATTCGCATGTTTTTATATTTTGAATTCTACCAATAGTTTAATTAATCCTCTTAAAGTTTTATGCACTAGATAATGCGAAAAAAATTTGAAAAAATAAGTAATAATTTAACGTTATCGAGGTTTGGAACATTAATATGCTATTGTATCTCAGCTGACGTTTCTGCATCTGGCGAAATTCTCAATTCAAATATTGATAGTTGTTCCAAAAACTCTTTATTGTTAGACCAATCAAACTTATCTCCATTGCCTTCATCCCAAAAACGCGTTCCAACGGAGAAAGACAAGATTTTGTTTCGCGAAAGTGTTTATTTTTCCGGTCACACTCAGGCTTATAAGTCTCTCATGGAAAACGTAGGAGTAAAGAAGTTTTTGCAGAATGGACTGAACAAAGCGCAGTCAGACGCGCTTCTAAGTTATCTTACAAAAAATTATAAACTGTACATGCTGGATCTAACAGATAAGAAGACAAATACTCACGATTTGAATAACTATCTGTGCATTAATGTTTTAATGAAGGTTTTGCAGTCATTTGATAGCGAATTGTTCGAAAAGATGATTACGAAAACCGAAATCTCGACAAGTTGTCCGATAAAAACTGTTACGGATGATTGCGCTTTCAATGCAGATCAAAGTTGCATGAAGTCGTTTAATCTTATTTCTTGTTATCTTAAAGATCATATTGAACCTGACACTTCGTTTAATAAAGAATTCCATAATCTCTACGGTAAACTCTTGTCTACTGTCAACCCGCAGCACAAAGATTATATGGTTGGGTTTCCAAAACTAATCAGGGCACCTGGTTTTGGGTTCGAAGGATTTATAGGCCATCTTCGTGATTTGCAGAGTACTTCGTTGTTTACCCGGTCAATCCGCACCAACGAACTTGGTGAGTTTAACAAAAACTCAGAACAAAACATCATGCTCAAACTCCCTAAATCAGTGCCCATTCCGATTCTCCCCGAAACAGCCACTTTATCGTGGCGTATTTACGTAAAAGCGCGAGACTTCATCATGTCGCACAGCTCCATGGATAGCGACCGTGAGGCATACATCGAATTTATCCAGAAATCAGACAGCACTGGTGTAATAACTTTTTTTGAGAAGTTGCTAAACTTGTTTATAAATCCTACTGACACACAACGCGGGTTACCTGTAGAGATTCACTCTGGCGTAAACAGCAACTTTTTTTCTTCCAGGCCAGGGTTATACTTCTCGTTCAAAAACGCAGAAACGGAATCATACGCATCACAATACATAAACACTGAAGAGTTTATGAGAATCTTTTATGGGCAGTTATTTAAGTATAGCTTTAACCCACCTGTTACTTCTCAAAACTTGATCGAGCGATCCATTAACGTGCTTCTTAAAGAATCTGGTTTGAGTACTTTGAACTCTGAAGATCACTTCAGACAAACATACACCTTTCGTACTTAGAAACAACTTAAAATTAATTATATAAGAAATAATAACTTAATTAAGCTTATATATGTATGCTTCTAACAATTATTATGAAAAATTAAACCGATGTTATTTTTATTCATTAGCGTCACTCTCGCTTTCGCTGAAAGAGCTGTCGTCTGAGTCACTTTCGTCTTGTTCGTCGAACGTATGATCGTTCTCGTCCGAGTCGTCGTCGAGCTGTGCGCTCACTTTACCGACGCCAGACGATTGGTTCTCAACGTTGTACGTAACGTTGTTTGCACTTAGATAGTTTATCAAGTCTGTCATTTGTGTTTTGGGCATTGTGCTGAACTTATATATAATGTTGTGCTTAGATTCTAGTTCTATATAGAAAAAGTGTGTTTCGCTACCCTTTGTTTCATGTATAGCGACCGTGGTGATAGTGGAAAGAGAAATGGTGACAACAGGCTTTGGTAAAAATATT